TTTAGTCTACAACCGCAGAGTGATGGCTTTACAGACCTTTGCAATATTCACAAAAGTCCAAGATCAAGGATAAGACTTCTCCCAGATCTAACCACCCTATTTACAGGGTTCCCTACCTCAACTCCTAACTTGGTTTCCTCCAGCTCTTGCACCATATGCCTTGCAGAAAATGTCATCTATGTGCAAGCACAGCTTTGGTGTACTTAATAAGTTATTGAGAACTCTGGCCATAAGTCCACTCAGAAGAAGCACAAACCTCTATGACAATGATACCCGTGGTTATGGCACCAAACGTTCTCCTTTCCAATTATTCTGTGGTATTTTCTGTGCAGGGATTTGATGCAGAACAGTTCGGAGAAAATCACATCACAGAGTATAGGTCTCTATCTCTGACTGAGTTCGTTTATAAGAAGAATCAATAGACAAAATACACAAAACAATAATCTTTATTAACAAAAATAGATAGAAACAAACACAATACACTAAAATAAAAGAAGAGCAATTATTTGGTACGAGTGTGTTGAACTGGTAAGAGAAATGTGAAGTAACCTTTAAAATCTGTCTTACTAATCCTGTGTGAGCTCTCCCTTTAAGCTGAAAAAGAAATGGGAATTTAAATGAAAAAGATTGAAGTAAAATAACCCTACAATAGTAAAATAAAGTTAAACAAAAGAAGGCAAAGTTTAAAATAAGGAAAACATTTCTTCAAAATCTAACTGAAAACTCTGACAAAGCAGCAAAAATTTGTACAAAATCTGCTTAACAAAGGAAAACCTGGCCTTGAATTTAAAACAACAGTATTATACAAACAGTCAGTTTGCTCAATAAATACTCACCACACATGTGACATTTATCCACTGTGATTCAAGTGCTAAGGAAGTACCTGGCTCGTCGACAGAAAAGACAACCATCTCAAAACACCACTGGTGAAGAAACAGCTATCTTCTCTCTAAGAAATCACGCCTAATGGTCACTAATGAATTTTAGATTCGTATATATCAGAATTAGGAAAGATGAGTTTTTCACTTGAGCGACTTCTCTGTGCCTAAAATGAACTACAGTTGTGTAAACAATTATTGCATCACAAAGTTTCCCTCACTTTTCTTTATTTTTGTAGATTTTTACAAGACTGTGCATTGTAGAAGTGACAGAACTAGTGCAAAATGGTTATGAACATTGTGTGGTACAAGCTTACTGATATTTCAGTTACTCAAAGTCATATATATGCATCTTTATAGAGTGCACAAGGGACCTAGTGTAGGCAGGGGAGAGTTCATGATGCCACAAGCGAATTGGGGTTTCCTGTAGTTCCAAAATGCTTGTTGATATATTTTCTTGCACTTTGTTACCCATTACATGTTAGCAGTTTACAATAGGTTTGAGATATAGACTGTTGCCTGGCCAGCATAGTTTCTTAATCCTCTCCCTTCGAAGACAGTCCTTAACCTGAAGCAACGAAATAAAGTCTAAGATGTATTTTCAATACACATAGAGTGAAATATCCTCTTTATTTCATGTATACTGCATAGAATATATGAATATTTTCAACCTTTTTAACCCTGTGGCATGGAGCATATTCTTCCTGCAATGAGTACTGGTCACCTTCACCAAAGTGATCCCAAATTATTGCCTTTACCTTGGACTCGAGTATCTCAATGTACTTGTTGGCACTGACAGAACCTTTCACAAAATGAAGGCTTTCTACATCCTGACCAGAGGTGCATTCTTATATCACATGACCGTTTTGATACTTCACAACTGCATTCAAACATTTACGTCTTACAAAATGCTTCCCTTCAGACCCATACACGTTGAACTTTGATTTGCTAGAGAATATCACTTTGCTTCACTCCAATCAGCATGCTCTTTTGGCCTAGTTGGGCCTCATCTAGTTGGTGAGGAGATATTTCTTTATTGACTGTCTTGCTGAGAGATCAGCTGAATATACACGAGACTGGATGGTGCATGTGGTGATAGCGACCCTGGCAGCTTCTTTTTGATATCCGTGGACAACAGTCGATGATTCTGCAGGCTCATGCATTTCCGAACACGATCATCAGTTGCTGTGGAAGTTTTATTCCTACCCCTTCCCTTCCACCGCTTCACACATCCAGTCTCTTTATATCTCTGCACTCAGAGGTTTCCAGTAGACTGGTTAACTTTAATTGTGCTAACAATCTGCCTTGTTGCAGTCGCTCTTTGTTTAAAAGAACAATGACTGCTTTTTTTCTGTGGAATTAACTCACAATCCTTGGCCATGGTAGCATCATATGCACATTGTAGCAGATAGACTTTTAAAATGATTTTCAGTAAGAACCTCTATTTATAATTAGAAAACGGCTGATGCAGTACCCAGATAGCCTATAAAGATACTGGTGTAACAGTTAGACACAGTTACAGTTAGTTTAGTTCATGTGTTTCATCCATGAAACATATTTGCATCTACATGTATTAGGGCCTCAAAGCAGATGATGATGATTCTGAAGAAAAGTGTGAAAAATTAGGCGATAAAATAAATTTTTCCATCACTGTAAAATAAAATACAGAAATTTCGAGAAACAAGATGCATATTAAAGGGTAGCTAATACATGACACAGTCATATTTCATCAGGAATAGGAACTATATTCACTCATGAATATTAAATGATCTATATAATCATCCATGTATATGATTCTGTAATGTTAGACTTTCAATGATATACTTGATTTTATGGACTATCACAAAATTCAACTATTCTCCTTTCACCAATATTATTTAATTCTTCAAAAATTTGGCACCCAGTGTAAACTCATGATGTACTGTTAATGTTGTGATTTAATTTAACTTTCTGATCTCTTCCTAAATATTTTGCATAGTTATTTTATATATTTATGGTTATAG